AAGCAGCACATTTCCTTTGATATCTTCTCATAGTTAAACCCTGATTGCTCTTATCCAGGAGGTCATTGATCTTTTCATTGTAGATTTCAATATAACTGCATCTAATCAAGTACCTCTTATCAACCTGGTCTGCCACATGCTGGAATAACTGATTGGATACTAATTGGAAAAGCCCAGGATCTGTTTTATTGCCCAAAATGGTGTGTGTTTTGCCAGAAGATGTTTGGCCATATGCAAATATTGTGGCATTGAAACCTTCCATGAAGGAATCGACTAAAGGTTTTACTACAGATCCATATACATCTGAATTTGTACATTCCTGATTAAATACATGGTCGAATATATAAACCTCTCCATGGCGACTACTTTCATCGGCTTCCCATATGCAGTTTACTCTTACGTTCCAAAGACGCTCTAGACCATCGGCTACTTCGCGGTGGATCATTGGTCTGATCTTTGTGGCTACTTTAATATTGTTGGAAGTCATTTTGGAAGCTTGAACTGAAATTTAATTAGAACTAGGGCTATTTCACGGGTTATAAAGAGGGGCAGATGTATCAGGTTGATACATTCTTTTTTTCCTCCTTTCCAGTATAGAAGATTTTTTTCTCTTGTAGGCTATGAATGCGGTCCGATAGTTTAGTAGAGCTACATTTACAGGGTGACTCAAAATCAAAGAAGAAACAGAATTGTTAAATTTCATATAGACTGTTATTGTTATTACAAAAAGAAGTTGAAGCAGCAGCAAATTCTCACAAATCTATAGATCCATCACTTTCAGCACCCGATTTTTCAACTTGAAAAATGCAGCTCGGTGAAGAATCACAAGGTAACTGTTGTCTATTCAGACAATACTCTTCTAAAAGCAACGCGAAGTTACCTAGTGCCTTACATGAATCGCCTTCATAATTCTTCATTATTGTCAATGGAAAACTGAAATTGTTGATTATTACAGTTTTTAATGCTTCAAATAAACAGATGGTGTTCGTGTTGGAAATCCCACGTCTAATCTCGCAAAACAGGTTATCCACCGGATCTTACTATCAACATCTGAAATGCCATTACTGTTTTTAGCCATGTGTACAACAGGTTTGTACGCATAAGACACTCTTACATGAAAACTGTTTATTGTCTAAAAACGAAAATACCCCATTGAAGATGAGTAATGCAATAAATATAATCCTCGAAACTTGAACTGTAATATGAACATAAAAAACTAACAAAATGGGCCATTTAACAACATATTTGGTGTTGATATTCTACAACAAAAACAAATACTTTCTCGTATAAGGAAACATACAATAATTAACATTTATCACTTTTCACGAAACAATGTAAGTGCGCTGTGACTTTACATACTTATTACAGATTGTAGAACATTTTTTTCATTGTGTATTGTCATGTAACACCTACGTCGTTTTTTTTCTTTAACAACTGCATCAGGATCGAGAACTCTGGGCTGAGAAGTAGACGGCTTACTTTATTCGTCGTTGGTAATTTAGGATTCTTTGCATGGCTGAACGAAGCTCCCTAGGAAGTCTTGGATCTGATAAACGTCCTCTCATACGAAGTTAAATTAGAGTTTGCCTCAGGGGAACAATAAAATTTCGTCGCCTAATGGAACTTTCAGTCCCAGACTGAAAAAAAAAGGAATTTACAGAAGCTGGTTGGATACCAAATAGCACAAGGCCATCTTCTCGTTCTCTAACCAGTATTGTAATTTACACACTTCCGATCTAATGCATTACCCCCCGCCTTCATAGTGTTATAAAAATAATATAGGATCTTATCAGGTTTCTTTGATTCCTCTACTATTTTGTTATCATGCTGCATAGATTGCTATACGAGAACATGTGTATTTGGTTTTGGAAGATACTACTCTAAGGCTGTACAACATAAACTTAGAAGTACCTGGCTGTGTTTCCTTCTTATTTGGAACTACATGTTGGGGTACTTGTTACTTATTTTTACGCTTCCTGCCGACATAGGTCAGTTGGTTGATGCGCAATTCTACATGTAATTCTACTGACGTGAACCAGTCATCTGCTGTGATATTTCTGTTCGTATAGACGAAAGCATTGAGCAGGTAGTGGTGAGTCTTTGCATCATCAGTCCATACTTATTCGGTTTAGTTTCTTGTAGGCACAGGAAGGACATCGGCCCACGAGCATCTCGTATTTTGTAGGGGACTCACCCGAAATATAACAATTTCGACAGTTCTCTATGAGTGTCTCGAAAATTTCACGTATTTGGAGAAATTTATCGGCATTTCTCGAGTCACAGGGTTATTATTTTCCAAATTGGTTGCCACGGACTTTAGTTCAGGTAAATGCGTAATAATCGACCAGTTGCAGGCGCTCGTTTTGACCAATTGTACATGTTTTTTCCATAGGCATAGCGAGGTCGCCCATAGGAAGTTGTTCAGGTTGATCGATAGCAGCGTCGTCCTCGGCGTAGTCTATAGTGTATTGTTCATCCGTCAACAACGAAAAAAATCCATTGTGAAGGAAGTTCAAATCGTACACGCAACTGACATCCTCGGATCAAATTTGACCGCAAAGTCAACAAACCAACAATTGTGATGTTTAAATTAAACTGTGGTTTGAGGTATACGTGCTCATACCGTATGAGAAGTCACGGGACCCCCACCACATAACTGAGAAAGCTCGAATCATCCGACGATATCATTAAAGGATTAATTTCTATATTCTTGAACGAATCTATAAAATCAAAGTGGCTGGGTTTCAATTTACATAGCTCTTTGTATGGTCTTGTTTGCTGATCAACATTATATGATTTCTAGACATGTTCAATCTGTGCAGCTTCTTCACTTTCATATTAATGTCAATAAGAGCATTTCATCCATTTTTGAATAAATGTGGTTCATCACAAATTGTAGAAATACTCTGAGCATTGACTATAAAATGGAATGGACTTGATCCGTGAGTATTCTCCGAGCAAATCGTCTCAAGTGCGTTTTTGATCGTTGCGCCCTGATTAGAAATAGTGCCAACAACGCACAAACCAAGTCGCTGCTAGTTTGTGATCACATGAACAATAATCGTTTCAGATCTGGGATTCTTGTATCTTTTACTAGATAATAAGCCACAACCTGCTTATAATTTTTACGAATCCCTCTTATCATGGAAGTAAGGGCATGATTTCTGATAAATCACTTTTTCAGAGTTCTAGTTGATTTGTTACCTCAGAATTCAAGATTTATTAGCTGAAAATTGTACACTGTGAGCACTGGGATCAGCCCTAAACTTTGTCCAAACCCTGCAATAATCGTAAACACTAAACAAGGGTAGACATATTTCTAGTTTAACTGCCTGAAGATTTTCTCTATGGTTTATACGTAACTCTCCACCTATTATCTCATTTTTGTACATGTTCTGGGAGAACTCAACTTGCTCCCTATAAAATGCAACGTCTTCCTGCACAGGTGGTTCTGGTTAAGTGCCAGCCTGCTTCGGGTTTGTAATTAGTTGTTGCAATTTTCTGATTTCGTCGTCCTTTTTCATAATCCAGATTTCGTTTTGGCATTCCAGTTCAGCCATTTGATCCTGAAGCTCTTTTATAGTAGAATCATTATGGCATCGTATATCTGAGATTTTAAATGAGTGGTTGACCTCACGTTGGTTACTCTCGTCCATCAGACTCTTTACGTCATTTCTCAGTTTAGATTCAAGTTCTTTTAGGAAGCCAATTTCATCTTGCAGTTCAGCAATGTGTGACATCGTTACATCAGTTTGTGCAGCAGCACTTAAAGAATGTTGCATATCTTCGTACTCAGCGTCAAGCATAGCTTCTAAGTCTGCAACCTTCTTTTTTGACTCAATATTTTGAGCTTCAAGAGATGGTTTAGGGCTCTCTGATCTTCCTAGGTTCTTCAGTTGAGTACGCAGCATCTCTATTTCTGACTCGTATGTTTTTAGTCTTTTTATTATTTTTTTCCAGAAAATCGAGTCTGTATTGCAAGTCGATGAAATTCTTGCGCTTTTGAGAATTTTTTTGAACTCTTTCTATTTCTTCGTGTACGCATCCGTTACTTGGCGGAGTTCCTGACTGTAACGATCGAATTTAGAATTGGTTCTGTGAGCTGTTTCTTCAGGTCCAAAATCTCAGCTGATTATCTAGTTTAGTGAATTCTCTAAGCTCATTGAAAGATTCTTCCAGTTCTTTGAGTGTTCTTTTAAGTACACTTGCACGTCTTCAGCTATCACAGATTCTGCTTCGGCTAGTGCCTCCTCATATGTCTCTTCTTGAATGGCTCATTTCACGTCCGGATGATTCTTCTTTGGGTGGATAATTTTTCAATGGCATATACCCTAGGATGCTTTTTTAGGTGATACGTTTGCCATAGTGTCCAAAAGTATGACGTCTTAATGTTTTTTTCGGTGTTGATGCCGAGGCTCCCATTTGAAAGCGCCCGACAATAGATACTTCCGTTTTTAGTCTTTCTATCTCGAGCAGATACTCTTGTTTGCTTTTATCCATCTCTTTTAGCTTAATTGCCTGCTTTTTGAGCCGAGTTTCGAGATCGCGAGTCAAGTTCTGATATCCTTGAAGTGTCTCTTCTGTAGCTGACAAGATGTTTACTTTCGTTTTATTTTTGACAGTTTTAGTGCTTTGGGCGAATTCTGGTGTAGATCTAGTCTCCTCCTCTGCAGCTAAAGTAACATTCCCGATAATCCAACTGATTTGGCATTACCGCCAAGAGCCTGTGAGAGCAGTCTAGTCAATTTCGAATCGCGATAACTGATAAACTCCTTCCCCTCGCTTAGTTGCCTTATCACATTTCCTAATACTGACAAAGATTTGTTTATGTTAGCCCCCTCTTTAAGACGCTCACCAGCAGCTTTCGTCAGAGAAACTCTCTCAGAACCAGCTAAGTCCATTAAGTTAAGGTAGCTTATATGTACAGGTCCATCTTTCTGATTGGCATCTTTCGACTCAGAATAATCCGGAAAATCGTGTGTGACGAGATGACCTCTCATTCATGCGAGTAGCTGCAACTCGTCTGATCTTATGCCCTGCATCATGTTCTCCATAACTTTATCAACATTGTCTACGACAGCTTCCCTTGCATCAAGCAGCACATTTCCTTTGATATCTTCTCTTATAGTTAAACCCTGATTGCTCTTATCCAGGAGGTCATTGATCTTTTCATTGTAGATTTCAATATAACTGCATCTAATCAAGTACCTCTTATCAACCTGGTCTGCCACATGCTGGAATAACTGATTGGATACTAATTGGAAAAGCCCAGGATCTGTTTTATTGCCCAAATGGTGTGTGTTTTGCAGAAGATGTTTGGCCATATGCAAATATTGTGGCATTGAAACCTTCCATGAAGGAATCGACTAAAGGTTTTACTACAGATCCATATACATCTGAATTTGTACATTCCTGATTAAATACATGGTCGAATATAAAACCTCTCCATGGCGACTACTTTCATCGGCTTCCCATATGCAGTTTACTCTTACGTTCCAAAGACGCTCTAGACCATCGGCTACTTCGCGGTGGATCATTGGTCTGATCTTTGTGGCTACTTTAATATTGTTGGAAGTCATTTTGGAAGCTTGAACTGAAATTTAATTAGAACTAGGGCTATTTCACGGGTTATAAAGAGGGGCAGATGTATCAGGTTGATACATTCTTTTTTTCCTCCTTTCCAGTATAGAAGATTTTTTTCTCTTGTAGGCTATGAATGCGGTCCGATAGTTTAGTAGAGCTACATTTACAGGGTGACTCAAAATCAAAGAAGAAACAGAATTGTTAAATTTCATATAGACTGTTATTGTTATTACAAAAAGAAGTTGAAGCAGCAGCAAATTCTCACAAATCTATAGATCCATCACTTTCAGCACCCGATTTTTCAACTTGAAAAATGCAGCTCGGTGAAGAATCACAAGGTAACTGTTGTCTATTCAGACAATACTCTTCTAAAAGCAACGCGAAGTTACCTAGTGCCTTACATGAATCGCCTTCATAATTCTTCATTATTGTCAATGGAAAACTGAAATTGTTGATTATTACAGTTTTTAATGCTTCAAATAAACAGATGGTGTTCGTGTTGGAAATCCCACGTCTAATCTCGCAAAACAGGTTATCCACCGGATCTTACTATCAACATCTGAAATGCCATTACTGTTTTTAGCCATGTGTACAACAGGTTTGTACGCATAAGACACTCTTACATGAAAACTGTTTATTGTCTAAAAACGAAAATACCCCATTGAAGATGAGTAATGCAATAAATATAATCCTCGAAACTTGAACTGTAATATGAACATAAAAAAACTAACAAAATGGGCCATTTAACAACATATTTGGTGTTGATATTCTACAACAAAAACAAATACTTTCTCGTATAAGGAAACATACAATAATTAACATTTATCACTTTTCACGAAACAATGTAAGTGCGCTGTGACTTTACATACTTATTACAGATTGTAGAACATTTTTTTCATTGTGTATTGTCATGTAACACCTACGTCGTTTTTTTTCTTTAACAACTGCATCAGGATCGAGAACTCTGGGCTGAGAAGTAGACGGCTTACTTTATTCGTCGTTGGTAATTTAGGATTCTTTGCATGGCTGAACGAAGCTCCCTAGGAAGTCTTGGATCTGATAAACGTCCTCTCATACGAAGTTAAATTAGAGTTTGCCTCAGGGGAACAATAAAATTTCGTCGCCTAATGGAACTTTCAGTCCCAGACTGAAAAAAAAAGGAATTTACAGAAGCTGGTTGGATACCAAATAGCACAAGGCCATCTTCTCGTTCTCTAACCAGTATTGTAATTTACACACTTCCGATCTAATGCATTACCCCCCGCCTTCATAGTGTTATAAAAATAATATAGGATCTTATCAGGTTTCTTT